TCTCAAGCAATACTATCTATTCCAATGGTAGGATTCAAAAATGTATTACTACTGGTTCTGTGGGTGTGGCTTGGTGGGCATGGCGTGGCTTGGTGGGTGTGGTAGGGGAAGGTTACTGCACAATCCCATTCCCTCCCCACTCCACTAACCTGCTTTCCAGCTCCATTCTCCTGTGCAGGGCAACCAAAGGAGAGCCAGCCAATCAGCTGGGACTTGGGATGCAGATAATAGATGGGGTTGGCGGGGCCAGTCAGAGGTGGTATTTGCCGGTTCTCTGAACTACTCAAAATGCCCGCTGCCAATTCTCCAGAACTGGTCAGAACCGGCTGAATACCACCTCTGATCTATTCCTAGATTTATCACCATCAGAATACCACCAGTAATTAGAAAATGTGTTAAGAATCTCAAAGGTGGTCATTAAGAAAATATTGGAATGTGCTGAAATGAGTAGATTGACATTTGAAATTAGAGAACAAGAGGATAAACAATTTTATAAAATTTGGGACCTTTTCTATCAATGGTTAGATAATAAAATACATTAATGAAATATGTAGATTTTTTAGAAAATAAATATATAAATATGTATTTATTTTTTATTATATCTACAAAATGTTTTTAAGATAGATTTGGGAGGGTAATATGAATTGTTATAAAATAAACTAAGTAAATTGTGGTTATCTCATAAAATATGAATGAATAAATTATAGTCAAATGATTGATTAATAATATTAGGGTATTTAATTTTTGATTGATAATATGAGCTTTTATGTAATGTAATTGTAATTGAAGACTACGGAATGGATGCACAAAATGATTTGTAAACCAACTGGCACACTGTTTGTATACCTATGGAAGAAAGTTTGATGTTTTTATGTTTTGTTTGTTTATGTTTGTTTTTAAAAACCAATAAAATTTACAAAAAAAAAATTAAAAAAATCTCAAAGGTGGTTTTTCAAAAGGAGACTGGACTGCTTTTTGACGAAGAAGTCAACAACATTTCGCTTCCCATCCAGGAAGCTTCGTCGGTGGTGACTGGATGGTGGATGGTTACCAGTGATAAAGCTTCTTGGGTGAGAAGCAAAATGTATTCTCCTTCCTCCCCCCCCAAAAAAGAAAAAAGAACCACAACAATCCAGTTGCCTTTTGGAAAAATACCTTTGAAACTATTATGACCTGGACGGTTGAGAATCTCCATAGACGTGGGCTAAGAATCCTTTCAACTAGCAAACCAAAGATGATCACGAATTTATAACCTGTTGAATGGCCTCCCTCAGAGTCAGACACAATCCCAATATACCTAAAACAAATCTCCCTGACTCTCCTCTTGAACTATAAGTAATGGACTACAATACCCATCATCCCTGGCCCAAGGCCAGCATCTTCTTCTCATAACTACTAATCAAAAAGCTTACATAAAGAATATTCATAAAGAACAGTGTTCACCTGCTCAAATGTGGTACCCTCACCTCTTTGAAATTTCTCTCTCTTTATCCTACCTTCCTTGCCTTTTGAAGCAATGCACCTTCCTTCCTGAGATTCATTCATTAGGAAAGACAATTGTCTGTGTTTTGATATTGCACTGATTCACCCAAGGGTCTTCACACTTGGCAAGTTTCAGATTTGTGGACTTCAACTCCCAGAATTCCCAAGCTAACATGACTGGAGGAGGAATTCTGGGAGTTGAAGTCCACAAGTCTTAAAGCTGTCAAGTTTGAAGACCCCTGTTATTGTTAAGGACTAATTGGGTGTGCACAATGTATTTACCTATGATTAACCATGGTTTAAGCCAGGCATCTTGGGTTTTTTATTCACAACCCATAGTAACCCATATATAATACATGGATTGATTTTACAAAACATGCTCAGCTCATCAGTCTGGAATCCGCATTACATAACGGATATTAATACAGTTGAGAAAGTCCAGAAATATTTCATGAGAAGATTTCTCCATTCCTCTACTTGTAGCAGAATACCTTATGCCACCATACTTGAAATTTTAAACATAGATCAATCCAAGTATAGTACAAAATTATCTACTGCAATGTCCTACCTGTCAATGAATACTTCAGCTTCAATCACAACAATACAAGAGCACACAATAGATACAAACTCAAGGTAAACCACACGAAACTTCATTGCAGGAAATACGACTTCAGCAACAGTGTGGTCAATGTCTGGAATACTCTGACTCTGTGGTTTCTTCCCCAAACCCCAGAAATTTAACCTTAGACTGTTTACTATTGACCTCACGCCTTTCCTAGGGGGCGTGCATACGCACACCAACGTGCTTACCATCCCTGTCCTATTGTTTCTTTTTTTCTTATTCATATCCATTTCATGTATTCATAACAATGTTTATACTTATACCTGTTATCTAATACTTGCTTGACAAATAAATAAATAAAATAAAATAAATATAAGTTTGGGTATTGGTATGAATGCAGCCAGTAGCTGTCAATTAGTATTAACCTAAAGGATCCTCTTTAACTCAGAGATGGGATGGAATAAGAGAGACACTATTAAAATCTGATAAATCTGCCAGATATGATCACCAAGGAGGATAAAATACCAATATCATCAAGAATCTCAAAAGTTCCCATTTCGAAGACATTTCAAAGCCTCCCCCTTGTGTTCATTTCCTTCTGCCCCAACCCCTCCCAAAAAATAAATAAAGACACCCACAGAGAAATCAATTAATCTTATACATATTGCAACTGGGAATAAATGGCTTTATAAATGGTATTAAATTGATAAGGGCACGTTTTGCTGGGCAAAAATTAAATATTGATTCATTTCCAGCAGGCAGTCCCCTCTGGAATCCATCTCCGGTTTTATTTTTTTCAGAGTTTCCCCCTCCCCCCTTCCCCCCCTCTTTTCTTTCAGTTGTTCTAGCTAAGTAATTACCTTTTGTGTCCTCACCCTTTTGCAAATCTCCACTCTTTAGTCCCTCAGACACAAAAGTCCTTTGCAAAAAGTTGAGGTTGGAGCTGAAAAGTTAATTGGTCCTGAGCCAAGGGGAGGAAGAATGGTTGGTGGGGGGGGGAAGCTTAAGAGATGTGGGGAGAAGAAAAAAGATTCTATTGGAAGAGCCATAAATTCAGCCAAGGAGGTGACGCATGTGGTAGTGGGTGTATGTAAGAGGGGAATTGGGGGCAGTTTAGCCAAAGTAGACACTAGTAGACACTGTCATCGTTCCTAAAAAAAACAGCAGAGCCCTCCCAAAGGTGCTTTTCCGAAAGGCAACTAGACTTTCTTGGTTTTTTTCTTTGAAAACATTTCACTTCTCACCCAAGAAGCTTCTTCAGTTCCAACTCAGAACTGAAGCAGCTTCTTGGATGAGAAGCAAAACTTATTCAAAGAGGAAAAAAAAATAGAAGCCCAAGAATGTCCAGTTATCTTTTGGAAAAGCACCTTTGGGACAACCATGACCTGGATCAGGGGTCTCCCACCTTGGCCACTTTAAGACTTATGGACTTCAACTCCAAGAAATTCTGGGGGTTGAAGTCCACAAGACTTGAAAGTGGCCAAGGTGGGAGACCCCTGACCTGGATGGTCCAGAATCTCCATAGGCAGCAGAACCCTCCTTCAAACCTTTCGCTCAAGGAAGAATGTAACATCCATCCAAGAAACAACCTGAGAAACGATCTAGGTTTGGCCAAAAAGGACGGTGGGTTTCCAAAATCCCAGCAGCTCTTCTTCAAGCCAGCCAAAGGATCTGCTTGTGCTGGAACAGACGGAGCCGCGCAGGTCCAACTCTCAAGATGGCAATGGACTCACTAGAAAATCTCAAGGTGGCATTTAGCCAAAGGGGTCTTTGGTCGGAGGCATTCAGGCAGGAATGGAGAAACGCCAATCTTTCACCTGTCTAGCATTATCCCCTGTCAATACGACACAAGGTAGGTGCCTGAGCATTTCCGCTGTAAGATAAACACCTCAGCAGGGTCTGTGCAAAAGCTGAAAGGGACCTGGCCCTCCTTTAAAAGTCAAGCCAGCTGAATGGGATGATCGATGTTTTTCCTAAGCTAAAATCTCTCCCCCCCCCCCCTCCAGCGGGCACGGGACGGGGAGGAAACGCCGGGCTTGACATCAATTTCTTCGAGGCACCCATCCAGTCGAGGAAAAAGTCCTTTCGGCTTGCAGGCAACGGGCACCGCCAGCCTGAAGCCAACGGGGCATCATCGACCCGACGATGGGGACGCACGTCGGGGGAGGGTCGGGGAGCCCAACCTGTCGCCCTCCATCTCCGTGCCTGCTCAGAAAGTAAAGCGGCCCCGGGTGGATGCAGCGGCTGGAGTTCCCCGAGTCGACTTGGCGGTCAGGATCACACCGCGCCCGGGTTAACCCGAGAGGCGTCGCTTCGCCAAGATTTAGTTAGCAAAGGGACGGGGGGGGGGGGGGGGAATCCCCGCCCCGAACAAGCGACCGGGGGGGGGGGGGGGGAGTTGGTCCTCCCTTGGCAAGGAAGGAGAGCAAACTTCCTAACAATGAAGACAATTAACCAGTGGAAAAAGCCTGCCTCCCTAAATCGTGGCTGTTCCATCCCTGGAGGTTTTTAAGAAGAGAGACTAGACAGTCACTTCTTTGAAATCGGTTCTCCTGCTTGAGCAGGGGGCTGGACTAGAAGACCTCGAAGGTCCCTTCCAGCTCATTCGTTCCATTCCCTTCTAAATGCCTTCGATCTAAAAAGGATCTCGCTCTTTTGCCTCCAAACCGGATCGGGACGGTTTTTACCCCGATCCTTCTTCGCCCGTTTCCACTCCGCGCGTCGCCTCTTTCAAAAGAAGAGGGAGGAGGGAAATCGCGGGAGAGAAGAACACGCGTGGGAAAGTTCTTGCGGGAGCACAGCGCGCGGGGCAACTGCGGGGAAAGGTGGGGAGGGAAGCCAGGTTGGGGGTGAGGTCTCTCCCATAGCCCCGCCAACCTTCCCCACGAACCCCTCCCTCCCCCCTTTCCTCCCTCCCTCCTTGGACGTGCAGCACCGCGAAAGTTGCGCGCCTCACCTGCCCGAGGTTCAGGTAGCCGTAAGCCGAAGCCAACCGGTCCGCTTCGCCGGGGCCACCCAGCACTCGTACGGCCCAATGGTTGGTGTAGTGGACTGTGCGGGGGCGCCTGGCCGGCAGGCAAGCCGGCAGCGCCGCCAGCAGGAGCAGGTAGGTTTGCAAAGAGCGCATGGCGGCGGCGAGGGAGCCCCGAGGGCAACCGGAGCGCTGGAGACCCGCTGCTTGCCCGCTTGCCAGCCCGGGGAGAGCGAATCGCGGCTGGGCGACCGGCTGCCTTAGCCCGCCGGTGGGTGGAGCCTCGACCTCTTAAGGCGGCCGCGGCCAGCCGGGAAGGTGGGTGGGAGGGAGGGGAGGCCGGGCTGGCGGCCTCCCCCGCCCCCACCCCCGGGCGGGAGTGGAGCTGAGTCCCGGGATCCCGGACAGGTAGTCGTGCCTGGCTGCCCGCCTCGGAGCTGGTTGGCGGCGGTGCCAAAGATGCTGCAGCAAAAGAGGACGGGCAGCGGCGGCTGCTGCTTTGGCCATGCTGCTGCCTTCGGCCCGTCCGCCAGCCAGCCAGCCAGCCAGAGCCATTGGAAGCGAAGGCAGCGCCGCTCCAACTGAGGAGCCCAAGGAGGCTTGACGCCGCCGCCGCCGCCGCTTGGAGAGCTCCGGACGGAAGCGAGGGAGCTGGGCTTGGGGTTGTGTTTGGAGATGCACACAACTCCTCCGCCCTCGCGTTTTCCCTTCCCGGGGCTTTTTTTTTGCGGAACTCCAGCCGACCGCGGTGGAAGCAGCCGAAACGTCCCAGCCGGGCTTAGAATCTCTGTTAAATATTCGCCGAAGGAGTCGTCCCCCCTCCCGCCGCCCCAGCATATTGCGGTTTGTGGACGGAGAGGAATTGCGGGGCATCCGTTCCGCTGACCGCTTTTCTTTCTCACTGTCCTGCCTACCTAGATTGGGACGGGGGGGGGGTGCTTAAAAACGAACACTTTCCCTCTTGTTTGGATGTCGGTTTCAAAGATGGATTCTGCATGCCTGGGCGCGGGGTCGGTCGCCTAGACCGGATTTTGGTTTTTGTTTTTTTACATTCAGGTGTCTGTTAATGTTGCACGTAGTTTAGGCTTTGAACAAGTTGATGGTGGTATAATAAGAGGAAATCGGATTCCAAACGTGAGTTGTATCGCTCACCTTTCTCTTTCCTCGTGTGTGTGTATTTACTTTCCATTTTGCTTGATAAAAGGTTCCGGGTTCAGCTTTTAAAGGTTTTTACTCGGTGACCTTGAATTGCCCCATAAATAACTCCTATAGATTCCGAAGTAATAAAACCAAAAGCGCACATTAAAGCTAAAATATACAGCCTCCATAACAAAATAACAAGACTCTGGTAGCTTCCTAAAAGAGGAACAAATGTATTTGCAATATATAAGCTTTATAATAATAAATTTGTTTGCCTTTAAGGTGCCGCTCGATGGTTTAGCTGTTGTTGCAAGATTAACACAACTTAGTCTCTGGAAATCATAATAAAAACAGCCTGGCATAGATTTGCTGTTATTTGAACAGGAAATGCATTCTTATTCAAACAAGGAATCCTCTAAGCATTTCAATATAGTCCTCCACTTACAACTCTTCATTTAATGACCACTGGAAAAAGTGACTTTTCATTTTTCACACTTAACAATCCTTGCCGCATCTCTATGATCCAAATTCAGACAATTTGGCAACTGACTTGTATTTATGACGGTTGCAGTATCCTGGGATCATGGGCTCTCCTTTTGCGACCTTCTGGCAAGCAAAGTCAATGGGAGAAGCCAGATTCATTTAACAACCAAGTTACTAATTTAACAACTGCAGGGATTCACTTAGCAACAGATAATTTTAGGCTCCATTGTGGTCGTAGGTCAAGAACTATCTGTACCCCTTTAAAAGGGCTTTCTTCAATAATAACAAAAAGTGAACAAACAGTTGCAGCTCACTGCAGGAAGTAGATCTGCAATTACGAAGTCCCAAGCTGAAACCCCAGAATTTCCAGGGCAAGTTGATCAAGCTCACAAGGCTGATATAAAGAATGTGATCTCTTGGGTATATGTCAAATGGGTCAAAAAAGTCAAGATGGTGGCTGCAACCATCCAATCTTTTTTATTGTGTTGCATATGTAACAAGGAAGCAGGATGTCTATCACTTGAGACCATTGTAATTTTTTAAAATATCAATAGTATTTAGACTTATATACCACTTCACAGTGCTTTAAAGCCCTCTCTAAGCAGTTTACAGAGTCGGCCTATTGCCCCCAACAATTTGGGTCCTCATTTTACCCACCTCAGAAGAATGGAAAGCAGAGAAAGTATTCAGACTGTTCTGACCTGTTCTGGAGAACTGGTAGCGGAAATTTGGAGTAGTTTGGAGAACCTGAAAATTGCACCTCTGACTGGCCCCGCCCCCATCTATTCTCTGCCTCCCATTGAGTCCCAGCTGACCAGATGGGTCTTCTTTGGTTGCCCTGTACAGGAGAATGGAGCTAGAAAGCAGGTTAATGGGGTGGGGAGGGAATGGGGATTTTGCGGTATCCTTCTCCTGCCATGTCCACCAAGCCCTGCCACACCCACCAAGCCACACCCACAGAACTAGTAGTAAAAAATTTTTTGAATCCCACCACTGATGGAAGGCTGAGTCAACCTTGAGTTTAGTGAGATTTGAACTGCCAAGATCACAGCAAGCATAAACTTCCATCCTCTTCAAATTCAGCCACTAAATCTCAGGAGTCTTGCAAGTCCACCAGAGTAGACAGCTAAGCCAACAAAGGAATGACCACGTCAGGAAGTGTTTTGCAAAGATCTCTCAGTAGCCATTTTCATCCCCTCCTCCCCATAATTTGATGCGCTCCAACTTCAAATGGATATTTTTATGGCAATAGAAATTGAGGATATTCTGACCAGCTTAAAAGAATTCAGAAAGTCATGTCATGCTTCATTTAATGTTAGTTTAGCGTCTGGTGTAAAATCAGTTTGTGCCATTTACACACTTTATCTAAGGGCTTTGCAAACCCCACCCCTGTATTAGATTATAGGTGAGTTCCAACCACCCTAAACCACAATCTAATATTTTAACCTAACCTCTACAGCATGAAGCAAGCTTGCTTGTTTGGTTGATATTTTCAAAGAGGGTGTGAACCTTTAGTTAATCAGTAAGCTGCTCTGAAGTTTACCATAGATAAGCTTGTTGATGGAATTGCCTCATTGCCTCCATGAGGGTCAGTGAAATTCAACCCCTGGAAGACCTGAAGCTGGAAAGGCCATTCCAGGTCATTAGATGGGTTGCTGGATTTGGGGCAATTTCAATAAACTTCTCAACATCTTATCCTCAGATGACTCAATGGACTTTGGATCAAACATTTAGTCACTGACCTTTTATCATCTTGAAAGAAACTTTGATTCAAAGTTGCTAGACAAAACACATCCTTCGTATCTTGGGAACAAATAGGGGGAAGAGCAGGCTTACATACCAGAGGTGCCAAGTAGACTCTCACGTTATTTGAGTGGATTATAATTTGCTACAGATAAATATTTAATATTAACCAAAAAGATTAGCTTTCAAAAGCCTTTCAGAGTGGAACCAAGATCATCATAAGATGGCAGCCACCATAAATAAATAAATTGTTAATAAATAATTTCCTTATCTCCAGTTCCTGTGCAGTGGAAAACCCAAAACATTTCCATCCATGTATATACACTGCTCAAAAAAATAAAGGGAGCACAAAAATAAGACATCCTAGATCTGAATGAATGAAATATTCTTGTTAAATACTTTGTCCATTTCATAGCTGAATGTGCTGACAACACAATCACACAAAAATTATCAATGGAAATCAAATTTAGCAACCCAAGGAGGTCTGGATTTTGGAGTTACACTCAAAATTAAAGTGGAAAAAAACACTACAGGCTGATCCAACTTTGATGTAATGTCCTTAAAACATGTCAAAATGAGGCTCAGTAGAGTGTGTGGCCTCTGCATGCCTGTATGACCTCCCTACAACACCTGTGCATGCTCCTGATGAGGTGGCAGATGGTATCCTGAGGGATCTCCTCCCACACCTGGACTAAAGCATCCCCTAACTCCTGGACAGTCTGTGGTACAACCTGGCGTTGGTGGATGGATTCAGGTCTGGGGAACGGGCGGGCCAATCCATAGCATCAATGCCTTCGTCTTGCAGGAACTGCTGACACACTCCAGCCACATGAGGTCTAGCACTGTCATGCATTAGGAGGAACCCAGGGCCAACCACACCAGCATATGGTCTCACAAGGGGTCTGAGGATCTCATCTCGGTACCTAATGGCAGTCAGGCTACCTCTGGCGAGCACATGGAGGGCTGTGCAGCCCCCTAAAGAAATGCCCCACACCATTACTGACCCACTGCCAAACCAGTCATGCTGGAGGATGTTGCAGGCAGCAGAACGTTCTCCACAGCATCTCCAGACCCTGTCATATCTGTCACATGTGCTCAGTGTGAAACTGCTTTCATCTATGAAGAGCACAGGGTGCCAGTGGCGAATTTGCCAATCTTGGTGTTCTCTGGCAAATGCCAAACGTCCTGCATGGTGTTGGGCTGTAAGCACAACCCCACCTGTGGACGTTGGTCCCTCATACCACCCTCATGGAGTCTGTTTCTGACCGTTTGAGCAGCCACATGCACATTTGTGGCCCGCTGGAGGTCATTTTGCAGGGCTCTGGCAGTGCTCCTCCTGTCCCTCCTTGCACAAAGGCGGAGGTAGCGGTCCTGATGCTGGGTTATTGCCTTCCTACGGCCTCCTCCACATCTCCTGATGTACTGGCCTGTCTCCTGGTAGTGCCTCCATGCTCTGGACACTATGCTGACAGCAAACCTTCTTGCCACAGCTCACATTGATGTGCCATCCTGGATGAGCTGCATTACCTGAACCACTTGTGTGTGTTGTAGACTCCATCGCAGGCTACCACTAGAGTGAAAGCACCGCCAGCTTTCAAAAGTGACCAAACCATCAGCCAGAAAGCATAGGAACTGAGAAGTGGTCTGTGGTCACCACCTGCAGAACTGCTCTTTTATTGGGGATGTCTTGCTAACTGCCTATGCTTTCCACCTGTTGTCTATTCCATTTGCACAACAGCATGTGAAATTGATTGTCAATCAGTGTTGCTACCTAAGTGGACAGTTTGATTTCACAGAAGTGTGATTGGCTTGGAGTTACATTGTGTTGTTTAAAGTGAAAGAGGTTTTTCAA